TAATATGGCCACCAATGATCTTATTTTTGAATTATCATGTAATTTGATGTGTTGCATGTGGGTGTTGCTTCAAGAAGAATCTGACCAGTTCTCCGGGGATTCCCGAAATATGTCCGGATGCGTGGTTCTACGACCTTGGATGATTATTTGGTTCACGTCTAAAAGGTTCTGGTTATCTCAAAATTACAAAAAAAAAAAAAAAAAAATACAACTGAAAACGATGAGCACTTCTCAGGCTTCCGCTCAACCGCAGCGCGTTTTTCCAAAATGTTGAAAAAAAAAGCCTTTTAGTACAATGCCGCTTTTGCCGCAACGCGCTCATTGTAGGTTGTCAAACGGATTTCAGTGTATTGTAAAATTTGCGATTGCCGCTATGCCGCTATCATTGTGTTCAGCCCTTTACTCTCTTTGCCTGCAATCAGATATCAAAGTGCACAGTGAGAAATGCACGCTTTAGGCTATACATCATCCATACATCACAAATGTTCTTCTAATTTAAACTCACACATTCAAATCGGTCTGCAAGTATGATAACGTCCAAAGCGTACCAGACTGCTGTTTCCGTGTTGCTCCCGTTTGACGCGTGACTACTGAAAGTTTCAATTACAACTAGTGGTGCAAACCGCCATGTATTGTGAAAAAATTTGTGGTATGTTTCAAGAGGTGATAGAAAGTCTGCTTGGCTTACATCAGGCATTTGACCATTCACAAACTTGCCACCAGCCACCCAAAAAAGCTCGCTTTTAGGTGCACTATTTAACGAGTTTTTTCATGGTAGTGATATCGACATGCTTAGAAATCAATGCATTAGGGATTAGGCAAACCATTCGAACTGAATTTAATCCTTTTTGAAGCAAACCAAGGTCGAAGATTTAATTGAGCCACACTTCTAAAAATAGTGTATTAATGCTGACTTGTGGTCTGGAGTAAAGAAGTACAGCTATAATGTGACCATAAAGTCTATAAATATCTAAACGCATTTTTTAATTATTTACATCTGTGTCGTGCACAGGTAGCACATGTGGACGCGACGCCACTGCATTATTATTTGTCGTCTTGGTACACCGAAAAAAGTTTGCATGTAGCTTCCATTGGAAATGCACATGATTTTAATCCATAATCAAAATAAATGGAATTAATATGAATTTCACATAACATTTATGCGATCCCATTAAATTTATGTGATCTTGGAAATGAATTTCATCGGCTTCATAATATTCATATGAATTTGTGGTGGGATTTGCTGCTATGTGATCACAGGAAAGCTATGTGAAATTCACATGGATTTCATCCATTAGATATGTGATAAATTTTTTGAGTGTAGGGATGTAACATGATTATTTTCATTTTAAACAATTATAATGCTGTAGCCGGCACCGGTGGTGTAGTGGTAAGCGTGACTGCTTTCTCACCCCAATGGGTATGGGTTCAATCCCAGCCGAGGGCGGTGGGATTTTTCTGAGGCATAAAAATCTCTGGTCACGTCTTCCTTCGGAAGGGAAGTATGTATGTGTGTTGAATGGGTGCGATATCCTACGCAGGTGTGGAAGCTGCCTTCCTGCACATTCGATTGTTGGCAATAGATGGCAATCGATGTCCGTCGGTGATTGGCACTAGATTGCGGAACAGAGACCGACGTTAAATGAAGGAAAGAAGAAAAGAATTATAATGCTGTTCCTTTTCACATTCAGATCCATGGAAGATTATTGCCTTATGCAGAATTGATGAAAATAGGTTTGCTCCCGTACTTGCTTTTTTGCTTTTGCTGTAAGTTATTGTAAGAAAATAATACAGCGTTCCTCGATTTGCAAGACAGGTTGTGTCGTCTACCCATCGTCATTTCTCAGCAATATTTCAACCAATTTAGCCGATTTTTTGTATGTGATTAGGGTCATCCTAATACTAATACTTGTCATCCACAAAAAAAAGCTCCATTTGTTGAAAGACTGCTATCGCGCAAATCAGTGATTCCTGTATTATTTTCTTACAGCAACTTTCAGCAAAAGCAAAAAAGCGAGTACGGGAAATAACTAATATCGAGGGTTTATGCTCTGGGATCGATATTACTGAAAAAAATCTTTTTCTTGTCAAAATGAATTAGATTTTTTTTGCTTTTGCCTACTATTCCCAAAGGCAAAATTTGGGCCCACTACCTCATTACTGTTTCATTTTCTCATCGAAAAACTATTTGTCGTATGTAATACCTTGCTCAGTCGATAGCAGCACTCCTGAGATGTTAGTTAACGGGAATTTTGAAAGAGTTATCAATCTCATTGAAAATACAACCAATTTTTTGTTCACCAAACCGAAACCAAACAGTTTTAGTTGCAACCAACAATATCTACACTACCCATAAACGCATAACAGCCCATTTGAATAAGAAATCAAGAAATCAAAGATATGACTGTTAAGGCCCAAGCGGAAGCAGAACGGCAGCGGAAAAGCCCGATCTGAGTAAGCCTACTTGTCTGATTGAAAACTAGTTACAACCAAATCGACTTCGGTTAGGCATCTTGATGTCATTTATGACAACTGTCAAATTTGCCGTTTCCGGTCCGCTTCCGCCCACGTTTGCCTTTATGGTTTTATGCTGCCTATAATCGCATATCAGTCCCATTTGGATTTTCGTAAATTTTGAGATAACAACGCTATCCATTATCAATTGGCATCTACTATCAAGTCAGTTTGTCCCATAAAGCAAAGTAATCGCTTATCAGTCCCATCCATAAATTCAATCGTCCAGAAGTGAAGTTACAGTTCTGATTTTCGAGTTGCCATATTTTTCGCTTATAAAACATAACATGCAAGCTTCAATGCAGCTGATTTTAACCTTAGAAATATATTAATATATTTACTATGATTTTTATAATATTAACATGAGAATCGCACTTCGTAACTGTGACAGCCATTTTCTCAATGCCTACTTATTCCATATGGGACAGATATAGGATTATAGCGAAGACAACATATCAAGAAGACTGACAAGCCTTTCATTTTCTCAAACAACCAGTATGAGACAAGCACAATCGAGTCATCTGCCACCCAAAGGTAAATGCTCCTATAGAAGGTTACATCCTCAGAAGCAGTGGCGTCGCCTTAACCTCAATCTACCTGTACACCAAATCTCAAAACATAAACAATTATCAAAATATTGCTTGCAATGGATAGATATCGAGTTAACTAGAAGATTAAGTGTATTTTCAACCGATTCGAGTATGAATATGGCATTAAATCATTTTTGAAAGTTGGTGCACAGGTAAAAAGTGCGGCTACGCGACGCCACTGCTCAGAAGAAAGGTTTTTGTATTTGCTCATTTTTCTATGCGTTGCTTCCACCTTCGCTCGAGCGCAGCGCTACTGTGTCTGTCGCATGGATTCAGCCAAAGTTGCCAGTCTTCTTGATATGTTGTCTTCGATTATGGGCGTTAGGTACATAGAATTTCAGCTGCTGTGATTTAACCATATGCGTTAATAATTATCCGACCACCACTGCACATCGCACTGCTGGTTAACGCGGACTAGCTCGGACGGTGACTAATAGTTTGCTGAAGGTGTTTAAATAGTGGTAGCAATCAAGAGCAGCTGGATCGTACGTGTATTATGTAAATCCGTAGTGTAGAGTACAGTTTTACACACTTCACGCATTATCTGTAGGCTGATAAAAACAGTTCGAGTCCAAAGCGATTAGAGCTAATCGGTGTAATGGTGCATATGCCTCGGTGTACGCAACTTTGTAAGTATTGTTATCAGAACAGCAAATACAGCTACTCTTTGAACAGTTTGAACAGTGGCGATGTCGATCCGCGCCTTGGAGTCCTTGTCGCTGCCTGCTCAAAGAAGGGGCATCGTTTGTCACGTGGTGGTATTGTAGCGTGCAAAAAAAAAACAGGCGGCAGGCGGGCGGTGGGAACATCATCTCAGGTTGGCGCTGTGCCAAAAATACCATGATGGTGGGTTGCCTGAAAACTGACCACGTAAAAATTTGGTCGGTTGGTAGGTATCGAGTTTGACTGATTTTTTTGGACGTAATTTTTGAAAATGTATATGGACCATATATAATCGCTGACACACTTCGCTGCTCTCTCCGATTCACCTTTCTTGAAAATACATTACATTTTGAAGAATCAATAGAAATAACTGTTTTGATTAAATCGATCTTTCATGGACAATGCAAACCTTCTGACATATTAAAAAAAAAAAACAATGTAAGTTCAACTTGGCTATGCTTGGACGATAAATCTATGTTTAAAACTGTTCCGGAAATAAACTAAATATTATAATGTTAATTACTTGCCACGTATTTAACGAAATCTCTTCAACAATCCCTCATTATTGATTGAATTTATAACATTTTTGTAGTGTGGCGAATTAGGAACATTTTGTGTCAAATTAAAAACATAGGCAAATTAGTGCGCCATTATTAGGCAAACGATTTACGATATCAAAAGTAATAAGTTCGTCCTGTTTTATATGTTTCCCCTATTCTTAGATATTTCAAATAGTGGCAAGCAAAATTTCCAAGAAATAAATGTGTTGATTTTTTAAATAAACATTAAATTTGATTGGTAGGTACCACAATGACATTTCTTGTACATAAAATATACAGTAGATGTTTTCAAACTTGATGTAATTGCCGTTCGGTTTGTGTATATGCTTGATTGAACATTGTTATTGATGTACATACTGTGCAATGTGTCTCAATTAAACCGTATCCAACATTCATTAGCCACACTCGAGCTCCATTAGTTGGGTTTCGCGCGAATTTTGAACCCCATCCTTCATCGTCGTCCACCCCGCACAACGCGACCGATGATGACGATGTGAAACAGCGAAATTGAAGCGGTTTTGTTTACTGTTTCCGAACGCCCGAGTGGTTTTATTTTTAATACATTACATCTGTTGCTCCAAGCTCTTGGTTCAAAAAACGAACCAACAGAAATCGTCAAACAAATCGGCCGGTTCATTAATGATTTTTACCCGTTTCGTTCTCGCGATTGCAGGGAGGAAATAACGCTGGACACACCGTCGTGGTCAACGGAAAGGATTTTGATTTCCACCTGCTACCCAGTGGAATCATCAACGAACGGTGCACATCAATTATCGGTGAGTATAACCAAAGTTAAATGAAAATGTGAACGTCATATATATCGATCTAATAGTTTGATGAATGGTCTGAAAAACAAAGTTTCTCTTCGTTTGAGACTGACAATGGCAGCTTTGCATTAGCAGCACATGAAGGTCATAGCCAAATAAGTTCTTCGTACCGGGCGACCGGTGACGTCGAACGGCGATGTAACCTTCAACCCTTGTTCAGGCCTTTTTGCGCGCCTGATTTATTAAATATGGCTCAAAGCGAAGAGAAGCATTATCGACCAAATTTTTGCGGAAACGATCAGATTGGTCTACGAAGAAAGACACATACACACACGACTCACTGGTTCGTTATCTTCGAAGGTTGTTGTCAAATAAATTATACGACTTTTTATCATGCTGCGACTTTTCACAGAAACCGCAAATTGACGAAATTCAAGGCGAATTTTGACCTGCGTGACTAAAACGAACTACGATGCATGCTACGAACTACGAACATCGTGGAAGTTTGTTTGGATTGGGTCTTGTTTCTGAACATTTCTTGGAACGGTTATGCCTTTATTGAATTATATCGTGGTTATCGGGTAAACTATCGCAGCTTATCTTTTGCCTTCGGAATTTATTTGATTCGCTGGCTGACAATCAAATAACTCTTTCATTACGAAATAGTAGGTAACTTTATCAAAATTTGGCAGTCATGAATTCTGAAGGATTTGATGCTACATGGGTTCCCATCCATCACGAAATCTGGAAATTTGAAATCAATCAATCACATAATATTATATTCACCTTTTTATACATCTGTTTACAACGTTCAAATTATGCCTTTAACTACTGTGGTAATCTATTAAAAATCCTCAACACGACAAAAAACACCACTCTCTTTTCTTATTTTCCCTTGGTCGCAATGTGGCCACACCACAGAGCGAACGTCTTTTAGATTTTGCCGTGCAGGCGAACCAGCCCAGACTGAAAGCCTCCTTAATAAAGAAAACTTAACTTAACTTTTAGATTTTGCCGTTGAAGATAGAGAAGCAGATTCATCATCTCCATGTAGGCCCGATCGTGCTTGACATGCAAGTGTCTGAGACCGCAATCAACGAACTAAAAAAACGAGATGAATGGTCCCGAAATAAATTAAAAAAATTAATTTCTGCACTTAGTACTAACCGGGTTCATAAGATTAGTCGGGACATCGTAGAATACCTTGTCCTAGTATGTAAAACATCAAGATCTGATCTCCAAGCATTTTGAAGAACCAAATAAACCAACATGATACTATCAGGGTGTCTATCCAACCGGGAAATGCAGGAATCATGTTGGAAAACCCAAATCGCACCAGGCAAGATCACATTGTGAATTTCGCGAAATAAAGCGAAGCTGATCCGGCTCACATGGAAGCTGCTTATCACAATGCTGAGGAAAAGGGAATCTTCTCAAAGTTTAAATCGAAGGAATCGATGCGTCATGCCTTGAAATTTAACTCAGAAGATTTAATATTCCATTATGCGGCAGAGGTACGCATGTCGCAAGCTGGGAAATACATCCAATATGTGCGTTAGTGCTGGAAAGTTAAACGTGTCATCCGGGAGAAGTTTCCAACTGACCTGTGCTTCGATATTTACACAGGGGTACGTGGGGTATACATCGATGTGATAAATTAAATTCCCACCTCACTGCATTTCCTCAATCGGAATGGCGATAATAAGGATAAATGCGTCCTTTGTAAGACGGACGGACACCGGGTGATTTCCTGCCCCAAGCGAAAGACTCGGAAGAAACCAGAGAAGCAGCACAACTGAAAATAAAGCAGCAGTAGTGTATGCTGGAGTCAGTGCTGAGATTTGTGATTGTCATTGACAGACTTTCGCGCGATATTGACAAAAATTATTTTTCACATAGTCACTGGCATACTTGATCCTCAAAAAAATCTTCGTCAAAATCTCATTCATTTTTTCGTCAATGACAAAGATTCACCTGGTCACAAAAAGTATAATTTCGTGCATTCTGTGGCACATTATTGTTATCCAAGCCGTTCAGGACTTAGATGCTTGTTCACTTTAACGACTCCATGTAATTGTTTTGCTCAAGTCATTTAATTTCGTTACAAATTTAACTAGTAAAACAATCTGCACATGTTCGTCACTGACAGCATTGTCAATGTCAATTGACATGGTTTGCCTTGAAGATGACTGTTAGCTCAAATGAGTGACCAAAGCAGAATTTTGAATATCACCGTGTATTGTCGATATTTTGCAGCACTGGCTGGAGTAGTTGCAGAAGGTACTTACTTACTTACTTTAGGGTCCTGTGTACCACCAGCGGTGCAAAGGGCCAACGTGAAAGACTTCCATCCTGGGCGGCTGCTCGCTTTTGCCTTGATCTGGGCCCAGGTCAGATTCCTATCGACTTGCTTAATTTCCTTATTGAGGATCCGCCGCCATGAGCCCCTGGGTCTGCCTCTGCTGCGATGTCCTGCCGGATTCCAATCCACATTTGTGCGGATAGCATGGGGTCAGCTTTGAGCATCTCTGCTGATATGCGATCGACCCCTGGAGCCTTGTTGGATTCCATGCTTCGGATAGCTGCTTCAATCTCCTGCAGTGATGGGGCCTCGGAATTGACGCGAGTGATGCGCCGCACCCTAGGCGGATCATGCCGAGATGTTGATGGCTGGTTGGCCGTCGAAACTTGAAGAAGTTGTTCGAAGTGCTCAAACCAGCGTTTCAGCTGGTCAGTGGGGTCGGTAAGCAATTGTCCAGTCGTGTCCTTCACTGGCATCCTCGGGTTCATCCTTGCTCCACTCAGGCGTCGTGAGAATATCGTAGAGGAGGCGTATATCGCCAGTGTTTGCGGCTTTCTCCCCTTCGTCGGCCAGGGAGTTCACCCACGCTCGCTTGTCCCGTCTGCAAGAGCGCTTGACTTCCTTCTCTAGAGCCGAGTACCGTTGACGGGCTTCGTTCTTGGCTCCTCTGGTTCTCGCCCGCTCTATCGCGGCTTTTGCTTCTGTACGCTCCTCAATCTTCCGCCAGGTTTCATCTGTGATCCACTCTTTCTTCTGGGTGCACAGCTCTCCCAAGTTGTTCTCGCTTGTTTCTATAAAGGCATTCTTGATGGCCGTCCATTGTTCTTCTACGCTGCCACCTTCTGGAACGTCCGCAGCTCGAGTCTCAAGTTCTTCAAAAAAAGACCTTTTTACCGCTGGATCTTCAAGTCGGCGTGTGTTGAACCGCCGCCCGTGTCTCTCCTCCCGTCGCTGGATCCGCGCCATGCGTAGGCGGATTTCACCGATTAGAAGGTGATGGCCAGACGCGATGTCGGCGCTGCGTTTATTCCGGACATCAAGAAGGCTCCGTCTCCATTTTCGGCTGATGCAGATGTGGTCGATCTGATTTTCGGTATGTCCATCACGGGAAACCCACGTGACTTCGTGCACTGGGGAAGAGCGAGCCCCCGATCACCATGTTGTTATTGCCACAAAATTCTGCAAACAGCTCACCGTTCTCGCTCATTTCGCCGAGACCATGGCGTCCCATGACACGCTCATAGCACAAACGAAGTGACAGACGACTAACTGGCGAAGAAATCCATTAAAATAATGTGGTTCACTGTAATAGAATTTTCTTGGAAGCTTGTGCCATCATCCACCAGATGGGTTAGTTTTTTTGTTTTGATTTGAACAAAGTTGATTTTGTGTACAATGATTCTTTGACAGTGTGCAAAGAGTGTATTATTTTGTCATATTTTTATGCATTTCAGTTTTGAGTAGAGCGAAAGAGATAGAACCAAAACATTCTAATACATTTGGTGAAAATGCTAGTACAATCCAGTAGTAGTGTTGCCATGTGGTACAATCCAGTAGTAGTGGTGTTGCCATGTGGTACACTGAAAAATTGAAATAGCAGGTTAGTCACCAAAGTTTTCGAGCCGCTCCGTCTATCACTTCGTTTGTACTCATAGTCCGTGTTGTCGGAGCCGATCTTCGCATTGAAGTCGCCAGTGTAGATCTTGATGTCACCCTTTGGGACCTTATCCACGACGGCATTCAGTTGACTGTAAAAATTCTCCCTGTCCTGCAGCTCGGCAGCATCGGTTGGCGCATAACATTGGATTATGGTAAGGTTACGAACCCGGCAACGATTATCCTCTCATTAACAGGCTCCCACTTGATGAGCGCAGCATTTGCCTGGACGCTAAGTAGGAGACCAACTCCACGATGGCGGGGAGCGTTTTCACCTCGAATATCAGTGTATAGTAGTGCCTGTCCCGACGGCAGTTTGTGTTCTCCAAAGTTTGGCCAGCGAACTTCACTCAGTCCCAGGATTTCTAGCTTCATGCGTCGCGCCTCGTTGGCGAGTTGTGCCAGTTTACCCTGCTGGGCTAACGTCAATACATTCCATGATCCAATTCGTGTCCGTTGTTTTGCGCTAAAAGTCGTTGCCGTTATATCAGTTCGATGTCTTTCTCTGTTGGTTTCTGTAACAATTGTAAAGGTTTCAGAGACAGTAGGTGGTTGGCCTAAGGTCTCCTATCCGTCGTGATGGGGCTGCCATCTTAGGTGTAGCTTCCGGGGAAGAGCATTTCTTATTCAGCCGCTGGATGCCAGTCAGACGCTGTTTGAGGCGCACCTCCATGGTGAACAGACGCTCGGGTTGGCGAAGCATTTCCTCTATCACCGTGCTATGGTTACCGCGCCAGTGTTCGCGTCGCACCTCCTCACTCTGCTATTGTCGGATTGACAACATGCCCAGGCTACGCCAACCAGCTGTGTCCATGTTTCAGCTGGCAGTCTTTTGTGATCATATGACTCGTGGAGGCGTGAGGTAGGAACAACGACTACAGAACGGAGAAAGGGTTGGAGGTGGTGGAGGATAATGGGGTCAAAATGGACGCGACTACCCATATACGCGAGAAGAGTAGTGGATAACAAATAATATAAATGACTTCCATACACAGCAGCAAAAACCCCGGTCCAAAGAGGAAGAAGAACAGCCGTTCAGAAAGAAGTACTC